TAGAGCAAATTATACAAAGCTCAGTTTGAGTTTTAGCTGAATTTAGGAAATACATATTTATGGTTTCTCAGCCAAAAACTTGGTGTATTAGATTTATACCCTTATCAGTTAATGCTAACTAAGACTTATGCGATATTTGGCGTAAGTTCCCTTTCATTAGCCATTTTGGGTCCCGGGTTTCCACATGGCGTTTGGAGCTATGTGGAATCCAGAGAGGCAGAGGGCAGTATCCACTATCTATGTCTAAAAGATACTGTTTCTCCCAGCATGGCCAGGAGGCAGAGCTGAGATAACAAGGAGACACATTGACCTAGAGACAATTTTAGGTAAAAGGTTTGAATCAAATTTTGAAAATATATTTATCAAAACTTTAGAAAATTTAAGTCACTTGAACTTGAAAAATATACTTATTTATTTAGTGAGCGTGCATTAATTATAAGCCAGTTAGGTACCTTGCACGCCAATTAGGTACCTTGCACATAAAACAATTACATAAACAGACATGAACATATAGACATGACATACAGCTTACGCACGCATATATGCAGACATAAACAACAAGAACAAACAAGGATCTTATAAGTTTTGTTTGAGATGTAAATAAAGCTTACTAGTAAAAAGGTCAGGTTTAGATTGCAGTTTTACTGGTGAGGCCTCACCCTGCCTTAAGGAAAGCAAGATAACAAATTTACATTGTAAAGCAAAGTATGCAAGCCTTTTCAAGAAGATGGAGAGATTTTCTTCCTTTTAAGAAAGTAGCATAGAAGTCTGCTTAAAATACCAAGTGGATGCGAGAAAATTTGAGATCATCTAATTAAACAGGTAAATCTTAGTTTATATTTTTGTAGAAGTCTGTTTTCTCAAATGAGTTACTGAGCTCAAGAGCTGAGCCAACAATTAGAAATGAAATCATTTGACTCTTGATGTTTTAAGTAGAAGAGCAGGAGACCCAAAAGGGGTCTGTTTGGCCATGGCTGCTTTTCTTCATAAAACTCCAGAGTCTTCAGATAGCACATGCAGTAAGATCCACTGCTTTTAAGAGAGGAAAGAAGCATCATGCAGATAAGAAAGAAAAACATGATCAATCTTGAATTCTTTCTGGAGCCACCTTAAAGCCAAGAAAACTGCAAATCAAAAATCAATTGAATAAAAGCATCCTGTAAATTTATCCTCGTAAAATAAAAAGATATATAATCTATATAATGAATTAAATAAATTGAAGGAAAATTTTTATGAAATTGTTGGAAAACCAAATCTACAAATTTCTGACAAAATATAGGGCTATAATCTGTAACTGCATGTTTTAGCTCTTTAAATAACCTTGTAGGGTAATGGCTCCCATCTAGGCTCATTCCCCTCGTAAGACACAGGAGAATAAGAGAAATTGCCTTCTTTTTGAGCCTGTTTTATTGCTCTTTGAAAGCCAGTCTCCCCAAGTTCTGGGGATTCTTTCTTTTTTGAAAAAGGATGATGAAGAAAAAATTTACTAGAAGGCCATTTTTCTTGATGATATTTAGTTGCCTCTTCATCTAACTTTTTCTGATTTTCAGGGGTTAAAGGATCCTCATCAGAGTCATTAGTTCTTTCCTTATCCAATGGATTATTAGATGTTAAATTGAGCTTTTGCTTAGAAGCTGCAATCGGGAATAAGCTATCTTGGGACCCCTAAGTTGGTCCCTTCTTGTCTGACAGCAAGGGAGCTCTCTCTTGAGGATTATCACCCGGTACAGTAAATTCATCTACATTGAATGCCTTGCCTAATGCACTCCAAATAGAAAAGGCAGAGACTGGCATATTAGCTCCTCCACGGCTTTGATACTATTGTCTTATGTTATTTTTTACCTGATTTCAAGTTTTTAAATTTAATGTTCCTTTCTCAGGAAACCATGGACTAACCTCTTGTACAAACAACAAAAGCTCAGCCAACTGTGGCTTGCTAGTGTGTAAAAGAACGTCAATATATAGGCTCCTATTCTTAGACGGGGAATTTTCCATTATTCTTCCTCCACCTAGGCACGAAACTTCTCAAAAAGTTCTCATATACAGGCTCCTATTGTTCGACAGGGAATTTTCCATTGTTCTTCCTCTGCCTAGGCTCCAAACTTCTCAAAAAGTTCTGACTATTCGTCCCCACTCTTAACCCGTCACTCTTGACGAGGGGTCTGCAGCACCCTAGGACGAAGGCCGACCTCCCCCGAAGGCAACAACCTTTATACTTACCCTAATTCGAGCCCCACGTTGGCGCCAAGGAAAGTAATCACTTTCCTGAAAGCCCTGTGCAGGAAACTTTTACATTCATCTTACTGACCAGAACTTCAATCTTGTGGCCACCCCCAGTTGCCTGGAGTCCGGGCAGTCAAATATGTTTAACTGAGCATATTGCTGCCGAAGACAAAATTAGGTCTCTGTTAAGAGGGAGGAAGAGGAGGTCGGCAGCTAGCAATACCTGCTATGTGGTTGTTTTCCTTTTTATTGTAGATTAATTTTCTTTGGCTCTAACGCTTGTGTTTTTTTTTTTTAATTTTTAGACCAATAATTTTATTGGCATGAAGGGAATACTTGCTCACTATTTTAAATTCAAAAATACAGAAAAGTAAAAAGAAAGCAATAATTTAACCAGAAGCAACTGGTCTCATGCTGGGTGAGCATGATTCTGTGCTTCTCAACATGTATATACTTATACAGTTGAAAAGGAAGTGTGAATGAATGGATAGTAGGAAGGAGAAAGGCAGACATGTATTTTTAAATGAAATACTAGGTTTAGGTTTACTTAAATCTATAAGAAGAAAAAGAAACTTCATCCTAAAAAAATTGTATGTCCTAAAAGATCCCTTTAAGAAAATAGATTATGAAAACCACTCAAAAGATTACTGTAAACATAGTGTTGTTTCTTAACTACATTTTTCAATTTTATACATTATCAGTCTATTCCTTTAGTTCTGTGAAATATATAATAATATATCCCCCACTTACATGCCTCCTACTCATTTTCGTTTGTTTTGTTTTTACTTGTTCAAGGTATATTTGTCTTATTCTCCCCTGCAACTGCAGTTCCCCTCAGCTTTTGGATTTAGTTCTTGGGGTTTTTTTTGGTTTTTTTGTTTTCCTTTTTTGTCTTTTTTACTGACCGGTAACGGGATCGCAACCCTTGGTGTCGCGCCCATACCGGGGACCGGCAACGGGATCGCAACCCTCAGTGTTGTGCCCGCACCACGCTCAGCCAGTGAGCGGGAACCGGT